CGCTTTTTTTTGCACTCGAAGGTGACGTGTCCCCTTAATCTTATCTTTCTTTATTACCATCTTTATAGATACAATAGCTTATTAGCATTAGCATTAAACTACTTTATTAGCATATTACAGTAACAAGTAGAAGCAATGTAAAGTAAAAAAGCTTCTTTAAGAAAAAACTAAATACATAGAAGCGAATACTAAATAAATCTATAAAAAATAGCTTCTTATTGTTAATTAAAATAACATATCACTCTTACGTATTGAAAGTATTATGAAAATATGGACAAAGAGCAGTCTTGGTATCTTATAAATACGCTCAAGCTCGTTTACTCATCATTAGTTTCTGTAAAGACGCGAAATATAAAAGAACTTACTTTTGAGTAGAATTTTTGTAATTATCCCTTACTTACAAACAGAATCAAAGTAGTATTTTTATATGATTTAAACAACTTGTACTATTTCTTATTTGTTCAATTCAACATGGAATACACTGCATACTTTATTGTTTTAACAATAATAATTATTTTATTATTCTACGTAATTGAATATTTAATAAATAAATTTCACGAATATAACATAGTTAGAAAATTTCCAGGCCCTAAAGCTTATCCTCTTATAGGAAATATGCATTTATTTCTTGGTGATTTGACAGGTATATTTTATTTTCATATTTCTAATATATACATTTATACCATTTTTATTGAATGAATCTGTTTTAACATTAGGTATAACGARAAARTTAATACAATACTCCGCAATCCATTCTTCGCCTTGGCGACTCTCGATAGGATCAAAATTAATTCTATTCTTCGATGATCCTGAAAATATTGAAGTAAGATTTATTTTAAATTTACTGCACTTCTTTTACAAACGATTAAATCAAGTAATATTTTTTTTTATTTCGTATTTAATTATAACAATTTATTATTTTATTTTTCAGATTATTTTAAAAAGCTCAAAAATTGATGAGAAAAGTTTCCTAAATTACTTTATAAAATATTCCTTAGGCGATGGATTATTTACAGCGCCAGGTAAATGATAAGCTCACATGGTTTCTTTTTAATTAATACCGAACAACTACCACCACAAATTCAAAGTATAATTAGGTATGTTTTAAATATTTCTTATAAAATATTGCTGGTAATAATTGGTTTTTTTTTACGTTTACATAAATCGTCTACACACTCAAGCGTGTAAATAATTATATGAAGATATAACTTTCCCTAATTTTTTACTAAATAATATATAAAAAAAAAAATAGAATAAGAAAAAAAAGTAAAAAATATTTTCTTATTTGAAGCGTCATTATGGAAAATGCATCGAAGAATACTAGATCAGAAATTCAATTCCAAAATGGTTTCATATTATATGGAGTCATTGAATAAAAATTCAAAAAGGCTAATAAACATTTTAGAAACTAGTAACGGAGAGAACGTAGATATCTCTCATTACGTACATTTATGTACGTTGGACATCATATTTGGTGAGTCTTGGAAACTCTAGAATTTTTAAAATATCAAGATATGTAAAAATCTATAACAAATTTTTTTTGTATACTGACAGATAGCCTATTGGAATCTGATCTAAATTTGCTAAATATCCCAGACTGCAAACTTGATAAATATCTGACAGAGTAATAATCAAAAGAAAATTATTATATTTATAATATAATATAGTATAACTTTATATATATCTTCTCATTAAATTTTATTTTTATTCAGAAATATGGATATAACTATGCAAAGGATTTTAAAAATGTGGTTGTACCCAAATATTATATTTAAGAATTCATCTTTAGGAAAACGGTTAGATGAAAATCTCGCATACATTAATAATATAACAAACGAGGTAAGAATAAAAAAATAACTGTTTGTTCCAAATTTTTTGGTTGTAACTATATAATACAGTTTTAGGAAAAATTATATTTTATTTATACTTCATATATATTTATATATAACTTTTATTTGTTAAGATTATAAGGAAAAAGAAAGAGTCAATACAGGAAGAGAAATTTACCCTTGAATGAAATGGTCCATATGCGAGTAAGAATAATCATTTTCAAAAATATTCTTTTAGTAATACATTTATGGATAGTTATCTTTGATATAAATAATAAATAATTTGTTATTATTCCTAAAGATAAAGTAAAAAATACGAGTCCATTTCTCGACGCATTATTTGAATCATTTTACAATACCGGAGAATATTCGGAGGCGAATATTCGTGATGAAATAAACACATTTATTTTTGCTGTAAGATTAATTTTTTTTAGATTAGATAAGATGTATTTTTATTGATAAATTGTCCTTTACAATTTTTTATTATTTTTTAGGGAAGTGATACTTCTGCTGGAACTCTTACATTTTTATTTTTAATGCTAGCATCGTTTCCGGAAGTTCAAGTATATAAAGATAACCATTAAGCATTATYAAATTTATCATAATCTTTTAGAAATCAAATTTATTTTTATACAAAACTTGTGTTATTTATTTGTCATTTTTGATTGTAGAATGAAGTTTATAAAGAGCTGTACGATATGTACGGTTCAAGCAATGAGAATGATGATCCAATTACATACGATGATACTAAGAAAATGCATTATTTGGAACGAGTCATTAAAGAAACACTTCGTCTTTTTCCTCCTGCTCCATTTTTTGGACGAACATCATATAGCGATATAATAGGTATTCATATACACAAAAAATACTATTCTTATTTTTTTCCAGTATTTAAATTAATGTTTTATGTAATAATAATATGTATTTAATTATTATATGAAGTGAACGACAACATTGTAGTACCACAAAATACTGAAGTGTTTTTTTCGACATATTTTATGCACCGAAAGGGTAAATATTGGACGGATCCTTTACGATTTAATCCTGATCGTTTTCTTCCGGGAAATTATGATCCGAAGTGTTTCATTCCATTTGGTTCTGG